GAGAGTCCGGGGGGCAGGAGCAGGGCTGGAAATATCCCGGGAGAGAGGAAAAACGGGATGAGAAAAACTCAGGCGCTGCTTTTCGCCATTCCAAGCGGGAAGAGCAGAGCGGGGAAGGGAACGGGAGCCCGCAGCCGGCAGCTCCCGGCCCGCCCCGGTAATTTGGGATGGCCGGATCCCAAAAAAAAAAAAAGACAGGAAAAGGACGTGCCAGCACGTTGGGATCTTGGAGAGGCTTTTTTTGGGATATTCCCCCATCCCAAAAACTCCTAAAAACCCCACAGGGAAGAGGGAGTGGGAGGATTTGGGATTTTATTTTGATTTTTTGGGGGTTTTTTGGGATATTTTGGCATATTCTACCCCTTCCCTCCGGGAATAAGGAGCTGGAAAGGCCCCTGGGAAGCCGCTTTTGTTTTTTTTTTTTTATTTCTTTGAAAGAATGGAAAATGTAATGACAGGCTCTGAATGAAAAGGATAAAAGGAAGCAGCTGGAAAGGCCCTAAATAGAGAGAAATCCACACAAAAATAAAACAGGACGAGAGGGAACAGGGGGTGAAAAGGGGAAGGAAAGAATTTGGGATCCCCTTTGCAGGCCCTGTCCCCAAATGGGGCATCCCCGGGGACCCCAAAGCAGAGGATCCCAAAACGGGGCTTTCCTGGGGACCCCAAAAGTGATCATCCCTGGGGACCCCAGAGCATCCCTGGGGACCCCAAATCTGGAAATCCTTGGAGACCCCAAAACTGAGCATCCCAGGGACCCCAAATCAGGGAATTCTGAATTGGATCATCCTTGGGGACCCGAAATCAGGGAATCCCTGAGCATCTCTGGGGACCCCAAATTAGAACCTGTGGGGTCCCCAAATCTCAGAATCCCTGGGAATCCCGAACTGGATTGTTCCAGGGAACCCCAAATCAGGGAATCCCGAACTGGAGCATCCCTGGGGACCCCAAACTGGAACCTGTGAGAATCCCAAACCAGAGCATTCCGGCCGATCCAGCTGTGGAATTCCAGCAGAGGAATTCCAGCTGTGCAATTCCAGCCCGTCTGGCCAAGAGGCGCCGCTGCGCTCCCGCCGTTCCCTCTGCCGGGAGCCGGGAAAATCCCCCATCCCAAAAATCCCTGACCCCAAAAAATCCGATCCCCAAAAACCCCCAAAACCCCGACCCCAAAAACCCCGATCTCCAAAAATCTCTAATCCCAAAAACCTCAGATCTCCAGAAATCCCTGATCCCCAAAAATCCCCAATCCCAAAAATCCCAATCCCCAAAATCCTAAAAATCCCCAAAATCCCAAAAATCCACAATCCCCAAAATTCCTGATCCCAAAATCCCCAATCCCCAAAATCCCCCAAATCCCCAGTCCCTAAAATTCCTGATCTCAAAAATCCCAATTCCCAAAAAATCCCCAATCCCAAAATCCCCAACCCCAAAAAACCCCCAATACATTTGTGTTTTTCCAAGGTATTTTATTTTGTTTTTCAGCCGCTTCTGGAAAAAACATCCCGGTTTTTATTTTGCTTTTTCCAGCTATTTTTGAACCTTTTTTTGGCTTCTTTTCCCTCTCCGGGGCTCCAGCCCATAAATAACAATAATAACAACATTTTTAAAGCCTTTTCGCTGACACTTCACCGGCCCTGCCAGAGCCTTTTCATACTCCAGATGGCGAAAATCCGCCTCAAAATAATAAAAAAAATAGGGAAAAAAATCCCTTAAAAAAAGGAAAAAAATTCCCTTAAAAAAAAAAAAAAAAAAAAAGAAAAAAAAGAGAAAAAAATCCCCTAAAAAGGGGGAAAAAAAAGCCTGGAAGTTTTGGTAAATATTTGGTGGTTTTCTCTTTTTTATTTTTTTTTTTCTTAATAAATTCTGTCACATGAAGGAGAAGTCCTAAAAGTGGAGCAGATGTTTTTGGGATATTTTTGGGATATTTTTGGGGTATATTTGAGGTATTTTGGGGATATTTTTGGGGTATTTTGGAGGTATTTTTGGGATGTTTTGGGGACATTTTGGGAATTTTATGGGGGTATTTTTGGGATATTTTTTGGGTATTTTTGGGATGTTTTTGGGATGGGCACAGAGGAAGGTGCCAGGGCTCCGTGCCCGGTTTGGGGTGCTTGAGGATCCCTCCCCCCACCCAAGTCTGGTGGTGTCACATCCGAGGGGGGAAACTGAGGCACGGAAAGAAAAAAAATTTAAAAATGTAAGAAAAATTAGACTTTAAGAAACTTTTTTCTTTAAAGAATTAATGAAGAATTAAACTAATTAAAGAAAGTGGAATATTGATTGAACCTCTCAAATGTGCAAAATTCTCAGAGCTCCTCCTCAAAATTTGGGGATTTTATCCCCTAAAAATTTACATATTTATAGGCTCACCAATAGGCTCATGCATATTCATTAGCTGGCCACGCCCACTCCACTCCTTATTGGTTGGAATCTGAAATTCAAGGAAATCTCAAAATTTTGGGGCTGGAAGGCAAAATTTGGGAGACAATTTCCCAAAATCGGCTGAGGAAAGATTTCCTTGGAGAAAAATGTAAAATTTGGGTGGGAATTAAAGGCAGGATTCGATCCCGGAGCTGATTGGTGGGGACGTGGTGGGGCTGGGGTCCCCTCTCCCGGCCCTGTGTCCCCTCTCCTGCGTCCCCTCTCCTGTGTCCCCTCCTCTGTCCCCTCTCCCGGCCCTGTGTCACCGGGATGGCGGTCCTGGGGACACTGGGCCGGTTGGGGACACGTTCTGGTAGTGGCCGCGTGCCGTGGGAGGGGAAACAGAAGAGGTTTCTTGGCTTGTGTGGGGTCTGTGCTGGGGCTGGGGTCACCTCTGCTGGCCCTGTGTCACCTCCAGGTCATGGGGATCGAGGTCCAGTTGATGGCACCGGTGACACCGGGCAGTGCTGGTTTGGGCACACCGGGTGGCTCTGGTGGCACTGGGCGGTGCCCGTTTGGTGGCTCTGGTGGCACTGACGGCGCTGGGCAGTGCCCGTTTGGTGGCTCTGGTGGCTCTGGTGACACTGGTGGCACCGGGCGGTGCCCGTTTGGTGGCTCTGGTGGCACTGACGGCGCCTGGCAGTGCCCGTTTGGTGGCTCTGGTGACACTGGTGGCACCGGGCAGTGCCCGTTTGGTGGCACTGGTGGCTCTGGTGGCACCGGGCAGTGTCAGTTCTGGCCACTGGGGGGCGCTGAGCGTCGTGCCCCTGCCCCCTGTGTGTGACGTCATCGCCGTGATGGGTGTCACCCCAAATCCATCCCCAACCCCAAATCCCCCAGCCCCAAATCCCACAGCCCCCGTTCCCATCCCAAATCCCCCAATCCCAAACCCCCCATTCCCAATCCCACAGACCCCAGCCCCCCCAGTACAGTCGGTGTGGGGTCCTGGGGCTGTCCCCAGTCCCTGTGGGTGCTGTCCCCAGTCCCAGGGATGCTGTCCCCAGTCCCAGTGGGTGCTGTCCCCAATCCCTGTGGGTGCTGTCCCCAATCCCTGTGGGTGTTGTCCCCAGTCCCTGTGGTGCCACCCTTAGTCCCAGTGGGTGCTGTCCCCAATCCCTGTGGGTGCTGTCCCCAATCCCAGTGGGTGCTGTCCCCAGTCCCAGGGATGCTGTCCCCAGTCCCAGTGGGTGCTGTCCCCAATCCCTGTGGGTGCTGTCCCCAATCCCAGTGGGTGCTGTCCCCAGTCCCAGGGATGCTGTCCCCAGTCCCAGTGGGTGCTGTCCCCAATCCCTGTGGGTGCTGTCCCCAATCCCAGTGGGTGCTGTCCCCAGTCCCAGGGATGCTGTCCCCAGTCCCAGTGGGTGCTGTCCCCAGTCCCTGTGGGTGCTGTCCCCAATCCCTGTGGGTGTTGTCCCCAGTCCCTGTGGTGCCACCCTTGCCCCCGTGCCCATCCCCAGGCCTGTGGCCGCTGGCCAGGCCCGAGTGGCACCAGGGTGTCCTTGTCCTGCACTGCGCCATGAGCGGCTTGGGGACACCCCCGGGCCACCTTCAGCACCTTGGGGGGATAGCAAGTGCCCCAAGGTGACACTGAATGCCCCAAGGTGACACTGAGCGCCCCAAGGTGACACCGAGTGCCCCAAGGTGACGGCGAGTGTCCCGGCACGGAGCCGGCAGGGCTGGCATTGAGCACGGCTTTACTGGGTGACACAGACACGGTGGTGGCAGCGCGACAGGAATGTGGCTCCCGGGAGGGGACAGAGCTGTGACCCCACGGGTGGCATGTGGCAATTTTGGGGGCGTTGGTGGCGGTTTTGGGGTAAAATTCTCATTATGAGACAGCAGCGGGCAGGGCTGGCACAGGGGACACCCTGGGGACATCGATGGGAACATTGCGGGGTCCCCTGAGCCCCTCGGTGCGGTGCCAGCCCCGCGTGGGGCAGGGGACAGGGTGGGGACAAGGGACAGGGCGAGGTGTCCGCGGGGTCGGCGCCTTCTTTGGTTTAAATGTCGGGAATTTTGGGGAGGGGGGCACAGGTGGCGCCTCCTGGCATTGCGGGTGGCAGCGGGGACATCGTCGGGTGGCTCCTCTGGTTGTGCCCTGCTCCCGGGAATGGGGGTCCCGCTGTTCCCCGCAGCCCATCCCGGGGGTGTCCCCGAGGGGCTCCGCCCTAACAGCGCTGCTGGCAGCGGGGACGTGGCCGTGGTGGCACTGGGGACACACCGTGATCCCGGGAATCTTCATCCTCATCATCCTCCTCATCCCAGCAGGAGCTGCCCAACCCCACAAGGAACCCCCAAAATCCCGGCACAGGAGAGCCTCTGGGTTCTCCTGAAAACCGCCCCAAAAATCCCTGCGGGGACCCTCCGTGTCCTCCCGGTGTCCCCGGTGTCACTGCGTGCGGCGACAAAAAACCGGGACGGAGCCGCTCCAGTGCCGGGGGTGGGGACCGGGGGTGGCGTGTCCCTCTGTCCCTGGGCATTGGGGACTCGATGTGACATGTGCGGGGTCCAGGGACCAGGTGTGGTGTGTCCAGGTGTGACATATCCGGGGTTGGGGACCGGCTGTGCCGTGTCCCCGCTGTCCCGGGGGGTTGGGGACCAGCCGTGCCGTGTCCCCGCTGTCCTGCCGGGCCTGGGGACCGGCCGTGCCGTGTCCCTGCTGTCCTGCTGGGGACAGGCCGTGCCATGTCCCCGTTGTCCTGTTGGGGACCGGCCGTGCCGTGTCCCCGCTGTCCTGTTGGGGACCGGCGGTGCCGTGTCCCCGCTGTCCCCGGCCCGGGGCACTCGCCGCGCTCCTCTCCCGGCGCTGCCATCCCAGCCCGGGGTCGCTCCTCGCTCGCCCCCGGCACAAACCGGGCTGGCGGCTGGGCCGAGCCCGCTGTCCCCGCGTGTCGCTGGCCCTCATTCGGCGTCGCCGTCGCCGCGGGCCGCGGGCGTGTCGGGCTCCCAGAGGACGAACTCGTGCAGCAGCGTGTTCACCGTGTCCGGGCACTCCAGCATCACCATGTGGCTGCCCTCGTCGATCACCTTCAGGAAGGCGATCAGCAGGATCTGCGGGTGCCCAGCGACACGGTGAGGCCCCCCGGAGGTGGCACGAGCCCCCAAAAGCCACTCTGTCCCCTCCCTGGCAGGTGGCAGTGCCAGGATGGGCCCCAGCCCTCCAAAGCCACACTGCCCCTTCCCTGGCAGTGTCCCTGGCAGGGCTTGGAGCACCCTGGGGCAGTGGAAGGTGTCCCTGCCCATGCCAAGGTGTCCCTGCCCATGTCCCTGCCCCTGTGCCATCCCTGGAACTGGAACTGTCCCTTGGAGCACCCTGGAACAGAGGAGGGTGTCCCTGCCCATGCCAAGGTATCCTATGTCCCTGTGCCATCCCTGGCAGTGGCCCTTGGAGCACCTTGGGACAGTGGAAATTGTCCCATTCCAATGCCAAGGTGTCCCTCCCCATGTGCCATGTCCCTGCCACGTCCCTGCCCATGCCAAGGTGTCCCTGCCACGTCCCTGCCCATGCCAAGGTGTCCCTGCCATGTCTCTGCCCATGCCAAGGTGTCCCTGCCCATCCCTGTGCCACCCTGGCACTGTCCCTCAGATCACTGAACGATTTTCCCCCTCCCTCCCCACCCCAAGTCTCCAGCAGCCACCCCACACTTTGGAGGGGGGCAGATTCCCCAGTCCCGTTCCAGGGGTGCCAGCCCCTCACCTCTGCCATCCTCTGGTCCTCCTCGATGGGCACGAACTTGTCGTGCATGCCGTGCACCAGCAGCACGGGCACGGCCAGCTCGGCATGGTACAGCTCGTCGCCCTCGGGCCAGTACTGCCCGCTCATGGTGGCACGCAGCACGAAGGACGAGACGTTGAAGGCGTTGCCCTCCTTCAGCAGCTGCTTCTCTTTGGCACCTTGGCGGGCAAAGCCGGCCCTGGCACGGGGGGAGAGGGCTCAGCCCGAAATTCGGGGGCTTGGCAGCAAGGGGGAGCATCCCAGACCGCCGAAAGTCGCACTTGGTCACCTCCCTCAGGGTAGCAGTGCCAGGGTGAGCCCCTGGGCGGTGGCAGGACATTCCAGCCCTCAAAAGTCACTCTCTGTCCCCTCCCTCGGGGTGGCAGTGCCAGGATGAACCCCCTGAGAGGTGGCACAAGACCCCGGCCCCCACATTCCACACTCTGTCCCCTTCGTTGGGGCACCAGTGCCAGGATGAGCCCCAGTCCTCCAGCCCCCCAAAAGCCACCCCCTGTCCCCTCCCTCACCAGTGGCAGTGCCAGGGTGACCCCTTAGGTGGTGGCAGGAGATTCCAGCCCCCCAAAAGCCACACTCTGTCCCCTCCCTCAGCAGTGGAAGTGCCAGGCTGACCGGTGGGTGGCACAGGGGCCCGGGGGTGGCAGTGGTGACTCACTTGAGGAAGCTCCAGGCCAGGCAGGGGGACAGGCAGTGCAGCACACAGGGCGGCACAGGAAGCCCCCAGCCCCCCAAGGTGTCCCCTTCCTCGGCAGTGGCAGTGCCAGGCTGACTCCTGGGAGGCACAGGACCCCCCTGGGTGGCACAGGACCCCCCCCTGGGTGGCACAGGTCCCCACCCAGGCTGTGACTCACTTGAGGAAGCTCCAGGCCAGGCAGGGGGACAGGCAGTGCAGCACACAGGGCGGCAGGTTGAAGATGGAGCACAGGCTGGGCTCCAGCGCCGTGGGGCCGCCCCCGTTGATCATGATCACCTTGTGCACCAGCTCCGGGTACTCGTGAGCCAGGAACGTGCAGAAGGACACTCTGGAAGGGTTAAAAATAACCACACACTGCTTGGCTTTTGCTATTTTAATTATTAATTATAGTAATTGTATGAATTATATTGATTGTGATCACTTTGTGCACCAGCTCCGGGTACTCATGAGCCAGGAATGTGCAGAAGGACACCTTGAAAGGGTTAAAAATAACAACAGAATTATTTGCTTTCACTATTTTAATTATTAATTATTAATTAGAGCAATTATAGCCATTATAGTAATTTTATTGATTATATTAATTATATTAGTTGATTGTGATCACTTTGTGCCCCAGCTCCAGGCACTCGTGTGCCAGGAAGGTGCAGAAGGACATCCTGAGGGGACATGGGGACACGGTGCCAGCGTGGCAGGGATGGGGGCAGCAGGTGAAGGTGTCCCATGGCCATGTCCCTGTCCCTGTGCCATCCCTGGCAGTGCCCCTTGGAGCACCCTGGGACAGTGGCAGATGTCCCTGCCCATCCAAGGTGTGCCTGCCATGTCCCTGCCCATGCCAAGGTGTCCCTGCCTGTCCCTGTGCCACCCTGGCAGTGTCCCTGGGGTCACGAGGGGATTTCTCCCTCCCTCCCCACCCCACCCCAAGGCTCCAGGCTCCAGCAGCCACCCCTCATTTGGGGGGCAGAGACCCCAACCCCCTTTCAGGGCAGGATTTGGTGCCCCCTGCCCAGCCCAGCCCCTCTGGTGCCCTCCAGGCTGCCCCGGCCTCATCCCAGGCCAGCCCCGCTGGATCTGGCTCTGTCTCCTTCGTTAGGCTCCACCTAATCAGGAGCCCTAATCCTGCCTTATCCTATTTATAGTCCCTGCCCTTGCACTTCCCTCTCAGGATTAGCTGGGCACAGAGATGGTGCCCACCCCAAGGGCACCCAGGAGCTCCAAATCCCGGGATAAATGGGATAAAAAGAATGGAAACCCCAAACTCCTAAACTATGGGATTTGTGACCATTCCCATTTTCTGTGATGATCCTACCCTACTCCCAGCCCCTTACCCATAGGAGTGCCCGATGAAGATGTTCCTTGACATCCTACAAGTTCCTTGTAGCACTTGAACGGAACCCAAGGATTCTGGAGCTCCAACTCCTGGGATAAATGGGATCAATCCCCCAAAATGGGAGCCCCACACCTCTAAAACCTGGGATTTGTAGCCATTCCCATTTCCCAGGAGGATCCTACCCCATTCCCAGCCCCTTACCCGTAGGAGTGCCCGATGAGGATGTTCCTTTTCTTGGCGTAGCGCTTGAACACGGCCCTCATGTCCTCGGCCAGCGCGTAGAAGGTGTAGGCAGCGGCCACGGGCGGCGCCGAGCTGCAGCCGTGTCCCGCCAAATCCGGCGCCACCACCTCATAGCCCAGCTTGGAGAAGAACTCCAGCTGCTCCTTCCAGATGTCCAAAGAGCCGCCAACGCCGTGGATGAAGAACAGCACCACGTCCCCGTGCGTGCCCTTGCAGCTCGTGATGCGCTTCTTGCAGTCCACCGTCACCACCCTCTTGGGCTTGCGTTTGCGACGCTTGGCCGCTGTTCCGGCGGGGTCCGGCGCTGCCGGCTCGCCGTTGGCATCGGGCAGCGGGCACCGCGGGGCCTGGGCCTCGCCCAAGTTCTCGATCAGCAGCTGCCCGTTGCGGTAGAGCGTGATGCGGCGCTGGCAGCGCACGGCGCCGCGCTCGGGGGACCGCGGGGACCGCGGGGACCGCGGGGACCGCGGGCGCTCGGGAGCGCTGTGGTGGATGCGGAGGATCCGGCCGGGTTTCACCTCCAGGAAGGTGAAGCCATCGCTGGACTCAACGCTGTCCAGAGGCCCCACGGCATTGGGGGTCTTGCCCAGCAGGCAGCAGAGGAAGCCGTCGGTGATGCTGGTCAGCATGGTGATGCCTGGGAAAATGGGAAGTGTAGGAAAATTGGGGGGATGGGGGAAAAACTGGGGGGAAATGTGGGGAAAATGTGGGGAAAATGGGGGGAAATGGGGGGGAAATGGGGAAAAACGTGGGAGAACATGGAAAAATGTGGAAAAGCAGGGGAAAATGTGGAAACATGGAAAATTCCCCCTCCTGCTTTTTTCTGGGTCACATCCCTGTCCCCAAGCCCTGAAGTTCCCATCACAGCCCTTGGAAAAGGGGTTTGTCCTGGCTGAAGGAAAAAAAAACGGAAAAAAAGCCTGTTCGGAACAGAAAACTCCCTTTTCCCAACAAATGTGGAGCTCAGGGAAGGTCCAGCCCTGGGAATTCATTATTTATCCCATAAAATTGAAATATTTATCTCATTAAATATAAACATGGCTGTGGTCGGAAGCAGCATCCGAGGTGGGAATTAAAATTTAATTAAAATCTCTCCACAAAATAAACTAAGGAATGTGGGGGGTGGGATTATCCTTGCTGTTCCCAAAGCTCACTGCTGGAGTTGAAATCTTGGGATTTTGGGAATATTCAGGAAAAGCTGGTGGGAATGGGGGCACGGAGGTTGGGAATGGGTTAATTGTGGCTGAGGGAAAACGAACACGGTGAATTATTGATGGCAGCGGGAGGAGAGAGCGGGATCCGAGCGCTGATCCTGCAGGATCCTGATCCCATTCCTGTGGGATTCTGATCCCAGTTCTCATTCCTGTGGGATTGAGATTCCAGTTCCCATTCCTGTAGGATTCCAGATCCCAGATCCCATTCCAGCAGGATCCCAGTTCCCATTCCTGTGGGATCAGGATCCCAGTTCCCATTCCTGCAGGATCCCGGAGATCCAGGCCCAGGATCTGCCCATTCCTGAAGGAAATCCAGACAAACCCGCCTGGAATCCTGGAATGAAGGCTGGAAAATCCCTCTGGCATCCCAAAATCCAACCTGCCCAGTGCTTCCAGGGGATCCATCCCAACCTTGCTCCCAGATCCCCAGATTCCCGAATTCCCAGATTCCTGGATCATGGATCCCTGGATTCCCAGATTCCTGGATCCCCATATTCCTGAATTCCAGATCCCCAGATCCTCAGATTTCTGGATTCCAGATTCCCAGATACCTGGCTCCCCAGATCACTGCATTCCCAGGTCCCAGATCCCTGGATCCCCAGATTCCCACATTCCCACATTCCTGGATCCCCACATTCCCAGATCCCCAGATCCCATCTCCCACCTCCCCCACGCTCCATGCCCGGAACATCCAGGTTGGAAAGGCTGGAGCAGGATCCCGATGGACGCGGGAAGGTGGGAATGGTGCCGGTTGCCATGGAAACGGAATGGGGGGGGCATTCCCAGCCCCCTCCGGCTGGGGATCTGAGAATCTGGGAAATTGGGAATCTGGGAACCTGGAATTTGGGAATTCTGGAATTTGGGAATCTGGGATCCAGGAATCCGGGAATCTGGGAATGTGGGAATTGGGAATCCGGGAATCCAGGAATCTGGGATCTGGGAATCCAGGAATCTGGGAATCCGGGAATCTGAGAAGCTGGAAATCCGGGAAATTGGGAATCTCTGAGACCAGGAATCTGGGAATTCGGGATTTCAGGAATTCAGGATTTTGGGGATTTGGGAATTCAGGAACCTGGAAATATGGGAATTCAGGACTTTGGGAATTTGGGAATCCGGTGCCTGTTATGTAGGGCTGGGAATGGAAATTAGGTGGGAATGGCGGGACCCAGTCGAGGGATCCTGCCTTGGGATCCTGGCACCAGGGCTGGCACAGGGGACACGGGAATGGCACGGGGGACTGGGGATCGGGGTTTGGGATCAGGAGCCTTTGGGATCAGGGATTGGGATCTGGGTTTGGAATCAGGAGCCTTTGGGATCAGGATTTGGGATCCGGGTTTGGGATCAGGCTTTGGGATCAGGCTTTGGGATCAGGCACTGGAACCAGCCCAGACTCTCCCTTGCCACGGGCAGGTTTTCCCGAAATTCCAGCCGAAATTCCAGCGGGATCAGACCCCCCTCCCCCCCAGCAATCCTTCCCCGCCGTTGCATCACGAGGGGAGGAAGGAAGGAAGGAATGAAGGAAGGAATGAAGGAAGAAAGGAAGGAAGGAACGAAGGAAGCCTTTCCCCAGGCTGGGTTTCCAGGATAATTCCCCCTCCGTTCCCCCCTCCCTGGCGCACCTGCACAAATCCGGGTTTTTCGCCGCTCCTCTCTGCCCCACAACATCCCAACCCCCCTCGCATCCCAGATTGCTTTTTTTTTTTTTTTCCTGACGGGGAAAAATTCCCGCATTTTTGGGTCACCCCCACCCCCAGCAGATTCCCGCAGCCCCGCAGGGAAAAAAGCGCCGCTCACCTCATCGATGGCCCGGGGGCTCCGGGGTGAGGAAAAGATCCTGGAATTGCGCAGGATTCCCGGTGCAAATCCTGGAATTCCGCAGGATTCCCGGTGGAGAGGCGGAGCAGGGCGGTGAAAATCCCGATTTTTTTCCAGGCGTTTTTTTTTGGGGGGGGGGGGGGGGGGAATTCCTTCAGCCCCCCCCGAAAATTCCCAAAAATCCCCAAAATTGCCCGAGCCCCCCGAAGTGCCGCCCGTGCCCGCTCCGGGGGCGCTCCGGGCTCGTCCTTGGAGCGGTCGCCATGGAAAAGGCAAAGCCCAAAGCCGAGAGCGGGGCGGGACCGCGGCTGATGGACAGCGACGGGGACAGGAGGGGACAGGAGGGGACAGGGGCAGGAGAGGGGACAGGGGTAGCGGGGACAGGGATGGGGACAGGGACAGGGGCTGATGGACACCGTGAGGGGCCACTGAGAGCCGGGGGCCACCGCAAGGACAGGCGGGGACACGGATGGGACAGGGATAAGGGAAGGGGATAGGGACAAGGGATGGGGACAGGAGGGGATGGGGACAGAGGTGGAATTTGGGATGGGGTGGTGACACTGCGGTGCTTGTGGGGTGGCAAAGGGTGCGAGTGTGGCAGCGCCACGGGCAGTGCCATGAGAGTGGCAGTGCCACCAATGTGTCACGCGTGTGGCAGTGCCACCCCGGGAGGCCAGACACCAAACCAGGGCTGGGTTTTGGGTTTATTTTCACATATTTTGGGGTTTACTTTCACAGATTTTTGGGTTTATTTTCCCATATTCTGGGCTTGGGGAGGGTTGAGCCACATCCCCTCATTCCTGAGGCCACAAAACCAGGAGGGAAAAACCTCGGAGCTGCTCCTGCTCTTGGGACAGGGCTGGGATTGATCCCAAAAAGGAAAATCCTGGAATTGCTTGGCTTGGAGAGACCTGAAATCCCACCCAGTCCCATCTTGGACCATCCTAGGCTGCTCCCACCTTTCCTTGGACATTCCAGGACTGGGATTCCGTTGCATTTCCTCCCAGGCAGGAATTCCTTCCCAAAATCCTGCCCAAATCTCCCTTTTCCCATCCCAAATCCACTCCCTGTGTCTTGTCCCCCTATCCCTTGTCCCAAGTCCCTCTCCAGCTCTCCTGGAGCCCTTTCAGAGTGGCTTCGTGGCCTGCCGCGACATCCCGGGGGACAACCGACAGCCCCCGAGGCGACAAGGCCGCAGGGGCGCCGTTGCCATGGTAACTCCGCCACGACCCCCCCGGGAGGACTACGACCCCCATCAGCCCTTGCGGCGCAGTGCCGGCTGTGATTGGCTGAGAGGACGGAGCCAATGGGAAACGGCGTTGTTGGCTGGGGAGCAAAATGGCGGCGCTGTGCCCGCTGTGGGCGCGGGCCGGGAGCCGCAGGTACCGCGAGGGGGAATCCCAGCTTTAAAATTCCAAATTTATCCTTCATTTGCCTCTCCTCACTCTTTGTTCTGCTTTAATTTCCCCCAAGCTTTTCCCTGCTGCGAGGTTTTCCCTTCCCGCTGCTCTCGAGCGCTCTGGAGCCGCTCCCCGGGCCTTCCAACGCCGCCGTTCTCTGCCGCGTCCCGCTCCCAGCGTGGAATTTCCGACAAATCCGTGGAAAATCCCGGGGGAACGAGTACCAGCCCAACAACTGGAAGCGGAAGAAGACGCACGGCTGGATCAAACGGATCAGAACTCCCGGCGGGGTCGCCGTGATCCTGCGGCGGATGCTGAAGGGGAGGAAATCCCTGAGCCACTGAGGGAGCCCCGGGAATTCTCCGGGAATTCCTCTCCGGGGTGAGCCCGCCGGGGCCTGGAGGGGGTGCCCAGCCCTGCTGGCCCTGTCACTCCGTGCTTCTGAGGGCTTTGGGGCGCGGCTGCTGCTTCGGTTGTTAAATTATCCTCGCCTTTTCCACGCGTTTATTCCGAGGGTTTTTTTTGTTGTTGTTTGTTTATAAACGTGGGAATGCGGAGTGTGTTAAATCACAGCGTGTCGCCTGGAGGTTGCTGCGTTAATTAGGGCGGGGGGTTTAATGAGGAGGGGGATCTGGCGCGTTGCAGGGCGGATATTTGGGAAGGATGGAGGGCGGGGCTGCGGAATTGGGGGTGGAACTCAGGTTTTCCTCACTCAGCAGCGCCTCCGCCCCATCCTCCGGGCTCCTGATCCCAGCATCACTGCTGGGATGGGATATAGGGAAGGAATTCTCTTTTTCCCCGCGCCGGTAATGAGCCGCCGCTTAATGAGCGGCCCCTTAATTGATGAGCGGGCTCGCCGCGCAAACTACAATTCCCGGCGTGCCCCGCGCCGCGCTCCATCCGGGTCCTCCCGCGCTGCTCCCGCCCTTCCGCGCGGGCACTTCCTGCCTCAACCCAGCCTTCCCGCCCGTGATTGACGGGCGCGGCGCCCAATAGGAGCGCAGTGCTCCGCGGCGCGGACCAATGGGCGCGCACGAGGCGGGCGGCCATGACAGTGGGCGGGCCGGGGCGGCTCCTCCCGGCTGGTGGCGGCGAAGATGGTACGTGAACCCCCGCCGCAGCGGCGGCCCCGCGCCGGCCCCG